CGAAGTAAAAAAAAAAAAAAAAAGACAAGACATTCACCACAATTTCTGATTTTAATTTCAGTTTGAATGTTGTCGTTGTCTTCGAATCTGTGAGCAGTGCACAGCAGCGGTGTTGAGTCGACGGGAGGTAGAGGGGGAACGGGGGAGGGGGGAGTGTGAAAGGAACGCATGAATTTGGGACCAAATACGCATCCTCTATCGGCGGTAGGTTTTAACTGACAGTAATTCGTAAGACCTCGCACGTAGATGCAATGGAAGACGCGAATCACGTGTGTGACTGTGGCCAACCTTTCATGTCATTGCGGACGATGAACTCGCACCGAGCGCGGGCATGTCCCTCCACTGTGGAAGAGAGGAGCATGACAGAAGAGATAGTTGGGGAGGTCAACGGCGGACCGTCAAATAGTGGTCCCATTGACCTGGTCAGTGGGGAAAGCCAGGAGGCTGAGCCCCCTCCTGATGTACAAGCGGACTGCGCATCCGAAGAACGGCGAGAAGAACACGCAGAGGCATTCGACAGCTCCCGCAAACTAGCGGCATTGATTTTCTCGTGTAGGGGCGGTGTGGGCATGTCCCAAATTGACGTTGACTGTCTATTGTCACTCCTCGAAAATCCTAGATTTGACCCCAGAGATATCGCATTCCGTAACAGTCGTGAGTGTCTGACATGGGCAGGCCGCCAGGCTGAAGCTGCAGGGTGGCAAGAGAAGAATCTACGCAGTGATGATTGGCCCGAAGAAGCGCATGTCATTCTGTGGTACCGCGACTGGCGCACAACGTTCGCTGACCTCGTGCGTGCTGCACTGAACAAYGTTGAAACGGTGTCTTGCCTCGAAATACAACATCCCGGGGATGACATCGAAATCTGCGACTCTCGCACGAGGCAGTTGAGTCACCATGTCCAAACTGTTATCAGAGCGGACAAGGATGTGGACACGAATGGTAGAACACGTTATGTCATCCCTCTGTCTCTGTATTCAGACAAGACTCATGTAGACGGTCGTCAAAAGCAGACAGTGTATCCTCTGATGATCTCAATCGCCCATTGCCCATCAGATGCCACACTGCTTGCGTATCTTCCAGTGCTTCAACACCGGCCACGTGACAAGGGCTGGGGTCCGCACTCCACCGCGTTTAGAAAACGGAAAACTGTGATTTTGCATAAAGCGTTGTCAACAGTATTGCAGTCCGCAAAGGAGGCATCCCATGACGGCATGATGGTAACAACGGAGCAGTTAGGTGAGATAACAGTGCACCCTTTCGTCATGAACTATATACAGGACTATCCTGAAAGGTGTGCCCTTGCAACTGTGAAATTCGGTGTTTGTCCAATATGCACAGTGTCCAAAGACGATTTGGATGTCATCGCCGATTTCACCAACTGCAGGAGATCGCAGACACTAGAGACGCAACTTGCCGCGGACTGCTTCAACAGTGGGGACAACGACATTCGTCGTGCTGCTGAGGCACGAATGTCAGAATTGGACATGCATAAGCATGTTCAAGAGAACGGCCTATGGAGATTCTACAGGGGTCCGCATGGTGACGATCCTGAACTAGATTACCATCTCGCTTTGCAACCAGACCGTATGCACACCATTGAACACGACATTTTTTTGCATATGATAGATGCATTCAAGGCAGCTGCTTATAAGAAGTTGCCAGATACCGCGCAAAGCGAGATATTGCACGAGATGGATGCGAGGTTGCAGAGCATCAGTGAGAGATCCACACGGACATACCCGCAGCTTGTGTTGCCCGTAGCCACAGGTTGTGATTTCTTTTCGAGGGAAGGACGATTTGAAGCGAAGCAAAATCGGTTTGTTATGACAGTTTGCGTGTTTATTATTTGTGATATCATCCCACGTGCGACAGGCAAATCTATTTCCGCTTGTTTCATCAAACTCATGGAAATGTACATACACGTGTTTCGTAAGTCAACCCACACAGCATCCTCTCTCGATGTTTGTGACACATTGATAGGTGATTTCATAACTAGTATAAATACGAAGATGGGAAAATATCAAACCTCTGATTGGAAAATTCCAAAGTTGCATGACCTTATGCATTTGAGAACAAGCATAGAGCGATCTGGTGTTCCCGACACGTTCGCAGTTGATGTGTGGGAGCATAATCATCAGAGGTTCTGCAAACAGCCATATTTGTCATCAAACAAGCGTAAGGCTGCTTCCCAGATGGTGAATCATATCCGACGCTCATTGGCTGTGCAGGATGAGATGGAGAGTGTGAGAAAACGCAGGAAGAGGTCAGCAGAAAATCGGTCATCCGTGATAGAGTGCATGGCCACCGGAAGTAATACCCTGGCAGCGGGCGACACAGCAACTCTACAACTCCGGTGGTTTCAGATGGACGATGTGCATTTGCCAGGCGTAGAGGGTATGAGCGATGCGGCATTGAGAATACTTAATGAGCTTCCCCGCAGAGAGGATTTTTGAGCTGCACTTACGACGTTCATGACAGAGATGGGTTGTCAACCTCCATCTGATGACCAAGTCATACACACTCGAACACACTTGATTATCGCCTGCACATACGACGGGACGCACAGGGGCGTAAACGTTCAGACGGCAAGAGCTTCACCACAGTTCCACGGGAGAGCCGTGCACAGCGATGTTGCAGTGAGAGGTGGCAATAACTACATATGATATGCATCAGTAGCCATGTTTCTCGTCATGAACGCTTGCACAGGTGGTGTTGCGGAGATGCACAAGTGTTGTTTCGTGCAATGGTACAAAGAGGAGGATAGCAAAAGGGAACACACAACAGGTTGTAAGAAGTTGCAATGGGAGAAGGTGAACGGTCATCAGCACAGTAGCGTCATAACGATTAATACCATCATTGACACCATTCACATTGTTCCTCGTTTTTGTAAACCACAGTGACGCTCGAAGAAGCATGCAAAAGAGAGGGAGGACAGTTTTTTGTTGAATAGATATGTACTCTAGAAGTGTACAGAGAATTACTCATTATGAAAAAAATAAAAATTAAAAGGCTGATCGTTTTTCCGAGAACAATAAGTGGTGGGCGTAGTTGCAATGTTATACTACAGCATGCACTCAACTTTTGTTTTTCTTTTACAGAGAGAGAGAGAGAGAGAGAGAGAGAGAGAGAGAAGCGTTTGAACAACAATAGTCATTTGGTAAAGATGGAGTCCGAACATCGGTAGATTTTTCGAGCGCRRAGCCTGCATTTCAKACCACTGTTGCATAGCTTMTGTGTYATCTTACACARCAATGTAGAGAAAGGTGCATCAAACCAGTGTGTATGACGAAGGTAACTTCAGAGTTGACTACTGCGTGCACATGTATGGCGAACGTGGACTTAAAAAGTGGGAGGTGGCACGCACTAGTCAACCCATGTCTATACTTGCCAAGTTACTGACGAGATGTGGTTCATGGCCATGTGACTGCCATGTGAACAGGAAAGGTTGAGGTTGAGGTAACGCCACAATAACAATCTGCACTGAAAGAAATGGCAAGACAACAAGCCGGAAAATTAGCGTATTGAGGAATTGTTGAGAAGCCGATTTAGACTGACACTGTCATCAGTTGTCACATCTGTTGTACGACGGAGAATAAGGGTTGTTCAGATGAGTCAGTTTGATAAAATCCACGAGGGGGTAGATGGCAACGGTTGTATCATGGGCTCCAAAGCGACGGACAGTTCAGAAACAGCAAGAAATGACGAACACTCATGTGGACCAACTGTCACCGAACCGTTACTCCCATTGAGCAGTGAGAGATCAGTGAATCGATGGAAGAGGATACTAGAGGACCCTTGGTATCCGGAAATGTATCAGATGATGACCACAGATGACGCCCAATATCCTCAGATGGTGCATGAACCTTTGTTCAATATTGCAGGAGGCAATCGGTCGACGGGTATGRCTGCAGAGGMTGGAAAGAGACCCAAGAGGGTGGACGAGGAACACTTATTCCCGTTCACGTGGAAATCAAGAAGACACGCCATATCAATAACAAAACGGGACGTATTGCGATTGGGTGCCAAGCAGTGGTTGAACGATAACGTGATCGATATGTACTTACAGTCCGTCTATGACGAACATTTTCCAGACGGAGACAATATGACACTTCATGTTTGCACATCTTTCTGGCACCCCGTAGTCATCGCCAATCAGAAGGTTTATGTCGCGAAAGCGGGATGGCAGGGGCGGATCAAGAGTACATCGCCAAAGCTGCGTCGAATAAGCAATGAACTGCGAACAACAAGTGTTGTTCTCATCCCTGTGAATCACGAAAACCATTGGAAATTGCTCTTGCTACTGAATGTCGACCAGTTTTTTGCAGTCACGGAGGACAACGATGGCCAGAAACGACCTGTTGCGATCGTCATCGATTCCTTTCAACAGAGCGGCCGACAGGAATGGAAGGCGTTGCGCACATTTTTGTGGTATGAATACCTCAGCGAGGCAGACAAAGCAGGGGTGTTGACTCCCGACACAGTGGACACGTCGTAGGTGACATAGAGAGATCTACTTGGATCTAAGATAGTGTACGCTGAATGCTCACAACAGACCAATACGTCAGACTGTGGTGTTTACGTTTGTTGCGTGGCAGCTTAATTGATGCGAAAGCTAGCAAAACTGAGTAAGCAAACGAACATTACCGCAAAATATATAACAGAAGTTGTTAGCGCGATGGAGGTTGACGACCAAACGGTCGACATATTTCATCAGTCAATGGTACAGCGCGTTGCGCAGTGTGCTGTCGAGGCAAAAGGATATAACACCGCAGCAGCATGTGACATAGAAAATGTTTTCAGAGATCTCATAGACGGAACACGGAGTGGATGTTCGTAAATACGAGGGCATGATAGAAACCGTGAGATCAGGAAACACGAAGTTGACAACCACGTGCAAATATACAGAACTCACACGTCGTAGAGAAGCCAATCGGCACGCAGTAGCCAACTTCTGCGCTCAGTCGATGGATGAATGCGTGATGTAATAAAGAAAAAAATATCGTCTTTCGTGTCATAACGGCGAAAACTCTCTCTCTCTCTCTCTCTCTCTCTCTCTCTCTCTCTCTCTCTCTCTCTCTCTCTCTCTCCCCCTCCCTCCCTGCGTGTGAAAATCTCGCCTGGGGTGGTGGATGACAAATGGTCGTTGTATAATATAAAATCATTCCATGTCTAACGTGAGTGTTTGTGAATTCATGCATGTCAGAGACTTTTAATAAGCGTGAAGAGAATGGCTCTGAAACCAAGGTACGAGGATCTGTGCAAGACCTTGAAGTCCACAGGGGGGAGAGAGAAGGGGGAGAGGACAGCAAAGGAAGGCCGGAAGACTGTCAAGCAAAGACATACCATCAGGGATATTCCCCGATTCAAGAGACGGGAGACGAACATAGTCTGCAAAACAGAAGTTGTGCTCTCTTTCTCGCCGAGGAAAAAGCAGAGTGGGAAACTGCTCGCACACAACAAGTTACCTGTCGCGAACTCCCTTGCTGCGGAAGGGACACGACAACCTCGAGAGGCAGCCTCCGACAGCGCCACAGAAGAAAAGATGAGAAGAAAAAGCACAGAGTCAACAACTGAGGACAAAGAAAAGAATAATATACAGAAAAGATAGGAGCCCTGAAGCAATCGACCTTAGAGGGTCATACGATTTACGAACCACAGCTCAGGAGGAAGACGAAGAGGAAAACTGTGCGGAAGAAATGTCAGAAGAAGTAAAACACAAGAGAATGCAAGAACGAGGAGAAGGTGACAACAGTGACGGTCACCATGATGTCGATGCAGAGGAGAGCGATCTGGAGGGAGAAGAGGCAGAGGGAGAGGATAGATCCGAGGAGGGCGGAGAGGCAGAGGAAGGCAACAGTGAAGACGAAGAAAGAGAGATTACATCTGCTGAAAACAATGCACAATGTGGAACTGATGAGAAAAAGGGAGGCGCACCGGAGACTTCATCGAACGACAAACAAATTGTGGAGAGGGAGAATGTACCGCTACAGGGTAAGATGAAGGGCGCCTTATAAAGACACCACTATTTATGCACAGCAGAGTCATTGTTGCATGCCGCAGAAACGACGAGGTTCACGGGCGGGGGGGGGGAAAGGGGAGGGGGCCGTTGGGAGGGGGTCTTTGTGAGAGGTGTTACGAAGTGTATTCCGAAGAGGGTATGGCAGGGGAGTTGACGGTCTTATGTTTGTTTGTGATTGCAACACATAGAACACGCATCGCGGAGGGTCTTCTTATTACTAAATCAATAATTTGTTGTTATTTTTGTATTTTTTTCCCAGATTGCACCAATTTGCGTAGGCGAAGCAGCACCGGTGGAGGCAATGCTGGCGAACTAACAGAGCAACAAACCGGGGGTTTTACAAAGAAAATGAAAGACAGACTGTTTCGTTCGGTGGCAAAGGCCTTTGCTTTTTCTGCAGCAAAGGATGCCACGCTGTACCCAACGGAGGACATTTTTTTCACGGCACTTCAAACAACTGCGAAATCGATAGGAGAAGATGTGGAGGAAGGACTACGGTTGCACGTGGCAACGTACGGAATCCGAGCAGTGACTCGATCGGGGAATGCAATCGCATTATGACAACGGTCCACGGCGAGATACTTGGCAATTGAGACATTGGTTTTGGGCCGAAAAAGGTATGCCGCTGGTCCGGTCGGCCCAAACGGACCACCAGCTTCCGACTCGCAACAGGATGCGGGCAGAGATGAAAGGGAACACAACATGGAGAAGGAGCGGCAATGATCCATGGGGCGCACCTCCTTTCAAGACGACAAAAGTTTTTCAAATGAGAAGGGATGGCATTAACCTCGGTGTAACGTTGCAGCAACTTGCATTTGCGGAACTGGTACTGAAAACTGAAGTCGAACAGACGACAAAGACCAGCAAGGCAGCGAACCAAATACAAAAACTTTCAACTATCAAGAAAGAGATTGCTGCGTCGCTCCGCTCCCGAGACACCGTTTTAAGCTTTTCTGTTTTCAAGCTCGACCGTACTGTTTCAGTTGCAGAGAAGGTCGTCGCATTGTACAGAGCCGGGTTGGCTGCTGTACGGAGGGGAGACGCCAATAACATGACTACAACAGATGATGATTTTGAACTTGAGTTCATTGCGCCCACCGACGACAAACGTGCGGGCGGAGAGAGAAACGAAGAAAGTTTGTGCGCAAGGCCGTGAAAAGGCGAAGAAGGGGTCCGGATGTAGATGGACGGGGGTTGGGGTTGGAACATAGGGAGCAGACAGTGGCAACGGTGTTGTAGGGGACATGAGCTGCACCTCCACTCACAGTCAGTGGCATGACACCAAGCCAATGAGGACCAAACTGTAAAATATAAGAGAGGGAGAGAGAGAGAGAGAGAGAGAAAGAGAGAGAGAGAGAGAGACAGGGATAGAGTTGTTATCCGAAAACAAAAGACTCTGGAGAACCCTTAGGGCTGAGTGTACAATAAGCAAACACGTTTTATTTAATGAATGGTTTTTGTACAAGTCCTGTCGTGGATGTGTTTCGACCATCACGTGGCATTTGCGTCTCGCATCTCACATTACTCGCCATCAATTTATTGTTTACATGGTTGCTTGTCTTGCAAGGATACGCACTGCGTCATGTGTAATGTGGCCCAAAATATGTCAGCGTTTCATTATGCAAAAACACGAATCATTTGGTTCGTTTGCAGAAAACGCATTACAGACTCCTAAAAATGTTCAATATGATGTCTTGAAGCAGTATTGAGAAGACACTAGAAAACATGTTCATCTTAATACTGGGGGAGAAGTACATGAGTGGTTGACTACTGCGTGCCATGTTCTTGTCGTGCATGTGAGTGATGCTGGAAATTGGCACCCGGTAGCCGACCTGCGTTTCAATATCCTTTTGACACCCCTGTGGACATTTGTCTTTGCAGCTGCATTGAAGGTTCACAGAAGCTACATAGACCCCCGAATAATATAAATAGCAACAGGGCAAGTTTTCTGCCATCATCAATACGGGAGGGAGAATGATTCTTTCTCTCTCTCTCTCTCTCTCTCTCTCTCTCTCTCTCTCTCTCTCTCTCTCTCTCTCTCTCTCTCTCTCTCTCTCTC